TTATTCTCGTATTTCACCAATTTTTTTCCTCGAGATTTATGAGGCGGTTCGTTGGCGAGTGGCGAAAATTAGGTTTAAAGCTCCAATTCAGGTGCTGATGATTCTGCATTTTCTTTAAATTCACAATTTCCGATATAACTCCTGCTATAAACTACCCCACTCCCAAATAATTGTTCGAAGTACCCATGTAACACTTCCTAAGGGGCTAAATCCTCGAGGGTGATACGACAGCCCTTTACCACAAGCTGTCGTCCCATTCTTGTACTCACAGTGACGGATCGCCCAGAACCAAAGTCGCTTATCGAAGCACTCTCCATCACAAAACCGTTAGTGCTACTTATACATTCGGCGTTAATTCATGTTCTGTTCCCCAAACCCTTTCTATAACGTCAGCTTTAGCATATGGTTTCAATACTCTTAAAAAAAACTGAATTTTTTTAGAAAAAAAAATAATACGGCCAAAAGTCATCCGTCACAAAGCACACGTTTCGGCCACTATTCAATGGCTTTGAAGTAAAGCCAGTAAAAAAATGGTAGAGGAACGTAGAACCACGAGCTAACTAAAATAAAAAAAAATCTGGACTTTCTATTGACACTTGTTTTTCTCATTAATATCTGGCTAGTAAAAGTTTCTCAAAATTTTGATGAATTCATCAATACCATCGATCATCAAAACTCAATATTTCAGATCCATGTCCTAAGTTTATTTCTTTCTTTCCACGAATGCCCATCAATGCAAGAGGCAATTTTCCCTCAGCATCACCATTTTACGAACGACCGCAACATTCTTTCATTTTATATGTACACAATTATTTTAATAATTACGTGAACCTTGACGCAAATATATTGTCGATGCGAACAGTACTTAGACTAATTTTATTAAATTTGAATTTTTTCATTCTTTAACGTTGTCAAGGAGTTATCTTTAGTAGACTGCGATACCAACTTCCAAAGGGTTACAATATCATTATTGCGGAGCGAGCAAAGCAAAGGAACTTCGTTTTTGTGCAGCCTTTTTGTGTACGATCGTTGTTCTCCAGGACCGATTTTTCTGCGAGTATTCTATGTACATCTGTATCACTCTGCCACGACCACTCCTTGTTATGTCAAAATTGCCTTGGTGCCAGCATTAATTATTACATAATCTATAATAATATAACACTTGCTTATAGTAAAGCGCTTACCAAGTTACCGACTAATTTATTTCCGCGGTTCTAATGAATCTATGCATTGCTTTCATAAATGTAATTAATGATTACATATTTTCTGTGTTCGTATTAGTCGCGGCAACCTCGAAATGACTATTCTTTCGGTTCGGAAGAAATGTATAGCTGATCTTACACATTCCCCTCTGCTTCACTAACGGTTGTACTTTTTCTAGCATAGTACCTACGATGCTATAAACTAATTAGATAACATCATTCCAAGCTCTTGCTATTATTATTCTGATTCTTCTACGATGATTCTTTATCCTTTACTAAGTTATATGGATTTGTCGATGCTATCCTGATGCAAGTTTTCTTTCTTCCGAGTCATCAGTGTGAACAATCACACAATTTTAATAATCTTTCTTAAGTTCAATACATCTTATTTCTACCAACCCTGAATACGTACAAGCGCATATATATCCATTACACACCACGCCCACGTACCTACACATACCTATGAAAAGCACATTTGATATGCCACTCACAAATATGAGAAAAGCCCGTTGAGAGTCCTGCAGTATCTCTACAGTAATAAAGATCCTCGCTATTAGACGTTAGTTGAATGGAGCTCTCATTTTCCATTTACCTTAAAAACAACTTCGTTTTTTAGAGCTTCTCTATTTCCACGTACGAGTGGTCCCAGTTGGCCGAGAAACTGTTTTCCCTTTCTTCATATTTCCCTTTTATCCATCCATAGTAAACATGGGGGCTCTAAGGAGAACCTTATGCCTTGTTTCTATTGTTGTTAATTCAATGCTTTCAGCTTGCTTTTATGCTACATGCAGGCTAATACTCTTTGTCAAGACGACTTTCGTTCAATTTTAGGATTACCTTGTATTTCTTGGTTATTTTTACGTACTGTGCTTTTTTCCTAACCAACAGTCGCTTGAAATATCTATGAAATACTCTGTCATAAAATATCGTTCGTTGCACAAATGAATATTAGATGGTGGCCCTCCCATAAATCAATTCACTACTCAATTAAGAAATAACAGCCCTAAAATTATTTTTCCTTATTTCTCCTTATTCATTTTCAAAATTCAGAACGATGCGCCCACTTAAATGTGTTCTGCGAAATTCGGAAAAAATTAGGAAACAAAGTTTATCTGATTAGAAGTGAATGCCCAGTTCTGAGAATATACGCCCCTATCGTACAACTGCGGCCTTTTAAGAGCGCTAATCATATTTAGGTCATTTTCATATTTAGATATTTGTTTGAGCTCTTGCGAAGCATATGGAATGAATGAAAGCCGATTTTTTCATACAGCATCAGTTTAACAACCGCGTGATGCAATTCTAAAATGTGATGATCACTTCACGTCATGCATACGGACCAAAAATATTTGCCCCATTTATAATAATCATTATTATTATTACTTTTGATCTATGCATGCTCGCTCATGGCTGTGATAATCGTATATTTAATGTGTATACGTACTATGCCGCTAGAGTTTCAAACGATCCTAGTTTGCCCTCTTTTTCTTGTCGTCAATGAAACTTGGTATGCATATTGTGCACTAGAAGGCAATTAAATCAGATTAACAGTTGTTCGTTGTTGAATATTCATACGTCAATGGTCTCTGTTGCCGCAGTGGAGCATTCGGATCTCCCTTTTACCAGCCTATGATATGTACAGAGGGGCATATGCACATCTCTACCAATGTGCATACAGGAAAAGGAAAACAGGCAAGTTCTGCGCGTTGCTTTGAGCAGCGTGAGACCTGACTTGATTAGTATCGATAGATCCTGTCCTTGAGAAACGCCCATGAAGAGGATCCGTTGGCAGTTAGTCGCCATTTAAAACGAAGGAAGTAGGCTAGGTGGAGAATACTCCGCAGGGAAAATTCACTGAGCTATTTCGATCTGCGCGTAACTAACTCCATTCCCCAGGCCATGACTCACCCGGTAGGCGCATGACTTTCGTGTGCCAAAGTGATGGTGGTGGCGACAGCGGCGTCGACTGCTGACTTGGCTAGGACTGTCCTTCCCGTCCTTTTCTCCTCCCCTGACGCTGCAGACTCACTCGTAGTGGAAGACAATCACACTTAATGTTATATTAACAGTTGCTGAATATTGACACGTTAACGACAGTGTAGTCAAATGTATCGTTGACGTTCGGTTCTTGTAGTGCAGTGTTCGGATCCGATTCGCAAAAGACCTCTGAGGGGATATCCTGAAATAGCATGATCTAATTACGGCCAACCAGTTTATGCTAACGTAGGTTTTGTTCCTAAAGCAAACGATCACTCGCGGGCAGCACAAGCCCGCGGTATGCTAGCGCCAGATAGTACGGCGGAACTAGTGTTGGGTAGTAAGACAACTCTCTTCCGTCATTTACGTACCGCTTGATTTTCTGTCGGCTCTTTTCTTCTACTCAGCTCAACTCGCAACAGCTAATTAAATTACCGTCCATCAACGGTAAAAGCCAGCCATTTTAGTCGAGTGCTAGCGCACTCTCTGTACTCGAACGGATGGTTTGAACAATTTACGGAAGCCGTTGGCGTCCCTGTCCCTCATAATCGCAAATAAATGTGACCTCACCAGAAGGTTTCAGCCTTTCGTTTGGTTTGATGCAGGCAGCGCAAGCTTAGGCAGTATCGTTCCTCTGATCTACGAAACCTGAACTAATCATCAGCGTGAACCTCAGAAAAAAAAACAGAGGTCAAAAACAAATCTCAGGTCTACTGATTATGAAACCTTGCGAACAGATCCATCTTTATATTAATCACTATATCCATAATTATACTACTGGAAGAGAGTAGTCACTGGAACAAGCGGTGTCTAATGGAGAACTGAGCATTTATTAAATAATCTCGCAGAATTAATACTGTCACCTTAATCGAATTTCGGGTGCTTTTAAAACGTACACGTTACATCAACCTGTTAACATCTTTTTTTTTATGGGTGCACATATCTTACGGAGATGGCAACATCAAATTTCATTGTTTGATTCCTCTTTATCCCCTATAGTTAATATTGTTTCAACAGGTTTATACTAAACCGCTCAAAAAATGTCAGCGTCATTGATTTCGAAATCCAACAGAACGTAACGCACGTCTGTCCTAAAATATCGAAAGGGAACGCTGTCCTTTTTTGTGCGTTACGTCCGCTGTAGAGATTTGTTAGTATTTAGCGCGGTACCTACGTTACGTGCTCGGCATACCAGCTATGGTACTGATATGGAACCTTCACGAACGTAGGTGTCAACTAGAACTACCTAGGCGATTACGGTAAACTCGAGCTAATCCAGAGCGGAAATAAACGTCTTACTAATAAAGAGAATCGAACTTTAACAGAGAGTAACAAGGGGTGACGCAGTGTTTAGGTTGACAGCATCTTTATACAAAGAACGAGGGGGTTTTCGAAAAACTGGTAAGGATAAGTGCGTTGTACCATTCGAATAAAAAAACAACAAGAATTATTTGATATGAAACAATAAACTATTTTATAAAGGGTTTTCGAAACAGCGGCTTAAACATCGATATGGACCTCTAAAAGCACTTTTATTATTTTTAGTAAAATATTAACAAGCTAACGTAGTAATCGCTACGTGTACTGCAGCAAATGAGTAACTTGATAGACAAAATACAGAACTCATAACTTTATTAATCGTACTTGCTGGGTGCGCTGACATATGGACAATGCGCCTCACATTTGGAATTAAGTTTCATTTGTCTCTCCTTTTATGTTACAGCTGGCTTCCGGTCGGCCGGACATACGTGGATACGTAGTTTGAATGTACGTGAACCGGGTCAACTGATGACCGACTTACCCTATAGAGTCAGTCATCGGACTATAGTGAGGTTTAATATATAGGGTCAGTTTATCGAATAGAAGTAAACGGGGTCGGTCGTCGGCTGATGTTTAATAGATAATGTACGTGGATCGACCCTGCTTACTACCAAAATAAAACAGGGTTGCGTAAATCGGAACTCTACCCTAGCGTTAAGCACGCAGACACTATTAGCTTTACTAAGTCCATTAGAGAGAAGACGTACCGAACATCCAAGGAGACGCTACAAACCCTATATTTATTCATCAGTTTAGTTACATCTTTTTGAAATACGTTCTTGAATTATATGGTTACCGTCCTAACCCCAAACACCTTTCTCCCCTCCTTAAATGTACTAGTTTGTTCGAGAAATCGGTAAATGTTTGCAAATTGTTATTTACAATAAATTGCGAACTACATTATGTTGGTCTAACTTAAGCCGACTCGACTACCTGGCCATATTAGTTATGATTTCAGCCCACGATTTTGAAGCAGCAGCAATGGAGGTTCGCCTCACGCTTAGATGGTGGTCAGATCCCGTAACACGAGTGAACGTCAACGGATCACCCTGTGGTTTTTGTCGATGTGCGGACGTTCACGCACACATAGAGCGTAACGTAAAGAAAACGTACACAATTTTGTCCTATGTTTCTTTATCTTATTCTAATTTATATAATATATTTGCGATTTTTGTATCATCGTAAGTAATACGGCGATTTTGGAAACGTACGTGTATTCGCCATATTTTCTGTGAGCCAGCTGTAACGAAGCGTTTTTTCCGTCTCTACCTTAAAATACACGCAGTATACATATCCTAGTTAGAAAATTTGAGCGTGACGAGACAAAAAAAGGCAAACACTTTCCAGGAATAGGTGAGCATCAGACTTTTGCAAAACTGTATCTCCGGGACCAATGTGAACAAGCGTAAACTATAAGGATAAATTCAGAATTTTTATACAAATTTTTCTGACTAGGTAATTTTACAAACTATTTTACTTCATTTCAGTGACAACAGAAACCATAGCTAATATTTTCGTTTATGATTCCTGTCCTAAACGAAATTTCTGTCAAATGGACCCTTTCCACCAAAGGTTCAGGTTTAGGTCCTACGATTTCAATGTTTCATATGGTGGTCTTTGCAGAAAACCAGATCAAATGAATAAAATGGCTGCTTGAGTTAAAAATAATAATTTTTATACTTACAGCTTTAATTTTTTATGGGCCGAAGAGACATTTGCAGTGGAGAGAGCTGTAATAATAAAAAACAAGCAAAAATAAAAGGCAAGTAAAGTAGAAATTTCTGAAGGACAAATCTAAGGGTTGATTTGTGTGTGGTCGATATTTCTTCCCTACTATAAATGTTCAACTTACAGTCTGCTGATGATCGATTGTTGTATATCCTTGGCAAGGTCTTTCACACTCCGCATATCCACCATCTTTGTTTTGTCCGGGCGACGAACTTTTATCCCTGATTCTAAATGCTGCTATTAAATTGAGCCCAGCGATTTTCAAAAACAAATAGGTCAGTTTTTTTTTAAATAAACGCGACTAAACAAGGTCATTGTATTGCTAAATGACGAATGAAAACTAATCTGAAGACATAAACATGGTATTAAAGATCGCCTACAATTTTATATTAAAAAGCATTCGGAACGGCTTTTTGTTATATCTCTTGAAGTACTGGTACTTGATATAGCTTGTTATTAACTTAAAAGTCCACACATCTCGCAAGGTTCATTTATCAGGACGTTCAAAGGCTCGGCAAGGCGTGAATAAATAGGCTAGGCAGTTCTTACGATAAGTGTACCTTCAAATTATCTGGGTCAGCTTGTATTAGTAGGAAATATTTATCGGAGTGATCCAGACATTCTGTTTCTTTCGAATACCTTGAAGAAGCGCGTTGCATAAAAGCAACTAGAGACTTGGTCAATGCTCGCAGTCCGTAGTTGTTGTATCGGTCACAATAATCGAGTATTCGGGAGTAAGGAATGTAAATCGAGATAGCAATCTACTGATCGAGATATCGTAAATCACCTGAAAATATTTTTTCTAAATAATGCCTCAACATTCTGCTACAAAATAAAGAAAATTGCATGAGTAGTTATCACAAAAAGAAAGCTGAAGAAAACAAAAAAAGAAAAAAATAACTAAAATTATAGATACCGCATTTAATTTCATTGATTGTCGCGCCTTAGGAACCATCGAAAAGAAGTACCAAAAACTGTCCAATTTTACATTTCTCGTTGTGTATCCCAAACATGATACACTTTACTAGAAGCTAGTTTGTTATTTACTTGAATATTTGCTCGGACTAAAGGATTTTTAACAAATAAATTTATCTTCAGATGTAATCTTTGGCAAGTTAGAAACTTTATAATAAACTAAGAAAGCAAGCGTTTTCGTCTGTGTTACGGAGGTTATTTAGGCTATCGATCGGTGACAAAAGTCAGAACTCAATTACAGCGAAGTATCAAGCCAAAAGATATAAAAACAATGGAAAAAATTCAACCCCCTATTGCTTTGGCATTTTCAGCCATAATGACACTATGACGACATCACACTTACATGACTAAATTGTACAAAAAAGGCCAATACTATAAAAACGCTCTACACTCAGAAATAGAAATCTGGTCCTCGTCGAACTTTTTTGTACCCCAACCTGTACAAATCTTTGGCTGTATTTCTAAAGCTTACTACAATGCGAATATACTATGCATGTACGCATTGTATATAGTATGTCGTGTATATATGTATGTATAATGCAATTTTTCTGTGGATTATATCTTTGGAAACTATTCGCCGCACCTCACCTATCTCCATTGATTAAAGGATATGGGGGGCATGTTGCTCACTTTCGTAAGTTTGTCTTGGCATGTCGTTGCTAAATAGATTTCTAATGTTGTTGCAATATGTGTGCTTACCCGGGTTAAAGGTCACCGCATATCAAAAGTAAATGTTCGTCGATGTCTATTTACCTTTATATGACTATGGGTGTGTCTTCTGTTTCTTATTATACCTCCTTTGTCGATCTTCATCAAATTTCCGGTCTTTGCCAAAGCCATCTTTTGGCAAAGAAAACAATCACTAAAAACCATGTTCAATTTCGAACACTGACCTGCCGCTCCCATCTTCACTTTGAAGACACTTTGAAGCACCCTTCTTCTTTCTCTCGTTCCAATCTATAGCCAGTAATATCTCGATGATATCACTAGAACGTACGTTTTGTGAACCACGTCATGTTTGTCCTGTAATTACGTTCCGACCTTACCCTGAAATAAATAATTCTTCAACATTTAGGCATACGAACTTATCTACGGTTGATAATCTATCGAGCGAAAAGGCTGACCGGAATCATAATAATTTTTTCGCTACTTTTGAGCTGAAGATATTCTGGAATGAAGAAATGAAGAGCCTAATCAAGTATTTTTTCATTATCTGAAACCAAGTTGAATCTTCATATGGGTATGTATGCTGTTCTTAGTAAATATTAGAAGTCAACTGAATCTAAAGATGACTTGATTTATCGAACGGCATAATGTTCGCGTTTTTTTTTTTTAAAAAAAATGATAACGATTTCCAAAAGCTCATACGGGTAACGATTTGAATTCAACCTACAAATTATAGTGCAACCCGGGAGGGAGCCTATTACCGAGGTTTATGAGGCACAGCTCTGCGTACTTGCTATAGGTGGCGTCTTTATGATCCAGCACCAATAATATCCAGCTTTTGGAATAAGCTGTCCCCAATCAACAGTAAAGAATATAACTAATCACAGATATTCCTCGCAAGTTATCTAGTTTTAACCCCTCATTGAGCTTGAACCGAAAATAGCTTTTGGCAGGTAAGCTAACCAAGTACTGTTAGATTGTTGTTGATGGTATCCCACGTTTATTTAGTTCACAGTTCTCTACTACAAGTACTACAACAAAGCAAAGATTACGAGCTTAAGGCTAACGAGCCAAGCGTCGGGGATAGGTTATTCGGGCAATTATAGGTCTTGCTTCTTCATAAGGCTACGACAATAAAAGTAGATGACGTTCCCTAGATGACGAAACAATCGACGAGAAAAAAGAATTGGAAAAACACTAGATACACATTAGTTATCCGCGTAGTTTATTAGAATTGTATTTTTTTATTATGCCATAGGGTACGACATGGCTTTGGTATTCGTGATGCGAATTATATATCGCATGGGCAAAAAATATGGCGTCTCCTCGTTACGGTGCCGTTGTTTTTGGAAAGCGTGAACAAATCACAAAAATGAAAATCAGCCCTTTTTCTATACATTCTAGTCAGCACCTTTGGGATCGAACGGTGAAATTTATCTTAACGGTTAAATTTTTATGTTCCCACTAGGCTGTTTTAGTTTGTTTCACGTATTTGTCATTGACATGGAAGCAGCTCGTATACATCCTCGAGAGATGGCTATATATTTAAAATCAACATATATTTTACCACATTTTAATAAACTTTTATTCAATATGCTATTTAGTATGTATGAAGAATTTCGATTATTTATGTGCAATCAGATATGAGATGCTGTATTGGTACATGTACGATCAGTTACCACTCAGTGTATACCGTTTTGGATGCTCATCGAAACGGTACTAGTTTTAATCGATACCATAACAGGTATAGGCGACATTTGAAGCGACTAGCTGCCATAGAAACTATATAGGCCCCAGCTGGATATCTAGGACATTGCCCAACGATTCCAGTCCAATGTCAATGCTTAGGCGAGGACAACCGTGCAATTACGTTACAAGCCCATCCATCGAGACGGAGATTTTGGCGCCCTCTGCATGCAATTTGCAATACTAGCCTTTGTATAGCCTGTACCTTTCTTGATGCAAATCCACGGAAAATCTACCGCTTTCTCATTACTCATTATTATTTATATATATATATAGTATTTCTTATTACTCAAGAGAATTAGAAGGAAACTTTAAGTATAAAGATTTGTTAGGTTAGACAACAGCTATACCAGGCATTTGAAATTTGCGAACGTGAGCACTAACTTTGATAGCAACGAGCCCTACTAACGATAATTATTCTAATACGATATAGTAATTCTATAATTTGAGATAGCAGAGAAGAATTTGAACAGAGAGATAGTGAAGAATTGAACTGTATAAAGTGTGTGCTCGAAGAACGAAAATTTCATTAGAATAAAAAATCGATCTTCCGGTCACATCTGCTGCACTGATATCCATTACAGAGCAATGGCATTACGTTGTCCATAGGCTGGCCATCTAACTCTATGGACATTAATGCTATAAACGTGTGACAGATAATTCCCTAGGCACAGAGAGGAATGTAGAAAGAGTATGTTGTAGGGTGTACAGCTCTAACTGAACGCTTTTAGCACCGTTTTTCAGTAATAAATCAGTAAAATATTTAGCACGTTTGAAACCCAAGCCTCCGGTTGTGCGTATTGTTTCAATGACAAAGCGCAATAACAAAGTCCAAAGAGAAACTTTATTTATACATGAAGGATTTACGACATGCCACATGCGGCATAATTTGTAGGAAATAGTCGTAGCACATTAGAAATGGGAACCGCTTCATTTCGTAAAGTTAATAAGTTCTTTATTCTGATATTAGTATATACATACTCAAATGTTATGTCATAAAACTTCAACGTTCCAAGTTCATGGGTTTGCCGCTATCATGAACCACACACTGCGCAGCAGGTCAACACTGGACACACCGGTCGACCTTTTCTTAGGCTAATTAATTTCGTTTGCAAGACAGGTATCGTGTAAGTTACGCCGTACATTAAAATTATTACGAGATGCGTTCTTAAGCAGAATTTGCTCTCTTTTTCAATGTTTCGACCATAAAGGCATAGAAGCTGCTCAGACCTATAAATAGTATATACATATATGGTCAATTTGCGCTATCGGAAAAAAGAGCCCAAATATGATTCTGTTGGTTTCGACCCGTAAAATTCGATGTGGAAGCTGTTTTCTAGTAATAGTCGGTTACTTAATAAAAACGAGGATAAAGTTATTGCGGAAGCAGAGAAAGATCGGCACCTTGGTTACCATGATATTTCTGGGTGTTACATATATTGACCTGCGAACCCCTACAGGAACTTAAGGCGAACTTACGCTATTGCGGCAAAACACAATCGGTTAAGTTGGGACATATTTTACCATATAAATATATCTGTTTCAGTTTTGCTATGAAAATGATCAATACCTTTTTAATAATCCAAATGACACACATTATATATATATATATATAATACGCTGTCAGACGAAAAATAGCACCATAAATCTACGCAGAAACCCAATCTAAAAGATAAACCTTTTACCTATTTCAAGTTAACTGACAGACACCGTTTTAAGAAATCTAGAAAATGAGCATATTAATGTACAAGACACATATAAAATGATGCAGACACAGCCATACGTTTTCTGCATCCATTCTACGCGGAACTGGGCATCGACTACGTTCCGAACAGTACAACAGAGCCACCTCGTGATTTGAATTCTCATCCCCCAACTGCTCACCCATCCATTTGACTGGCTGTACGCACGCCCACTGTGCACGATCCGTACTTTTGTCGCCAAACAATCACAACTATTTAACGCTATGACACCGTCTTTCGCTGCTGTGCATGTTTCCCTGGTACAACCTCATATCCTCATCGAAGGACAGACCGTATTTTTGAGACGATACTTCCGCTGGCTCATGTGTGCATCTTGGTGACGTGGCAGAGATCTGTCTATCTGTCTGTAAGATTTACACGCCGTGATGTGTACAGACAAAGCTCGGACGAATCATCATCAGGATTTCGTCATTGATTTAATGCTTAGATTTGTATTGACCGCGTATGTGACACAACGCGTGATGTGAACCCTCAACAAAATCATAAACAAGTCGGACAATTAATTTCTCAATTTTTATACGAAGCCACTTAAACAAAAGCGGCTAGAAAAATAAAGAATATACCTGTACTTGAATTAAGTTCTACTAGTCATTTGCGCATATATAGTTACTCGTAGCAATTTAGTTTACTTGGTATACCACTCATGAATCCGAACACCATACGTTTGGCAGATAAGTGCAACAAATATCCTTATTGGCAACTATTTACTCGCGATCATATTAATTATAACTTCTAATTGTAACTATTGACTACTTACTTACTTAAAGTGCTCAGCGGAAAGGGCGGCACCCTTGAATAACTCGAATAAATTATGTACATTTTACATTATAGCGTTTCCTGTTATGACAACAAGCTGCTGCAGCGCATTAAATACTTACAGAATATTTATTATACAGTTGTAGATATATCAATATGTGTATTTATGTGATGATGTTTATAAATAATTATAATACTCACTAGGCTAACCGTAGCGCGCTGATTTCCATTGAAGCCATTCAAGAACGCCAACGATGGATCTCACCGACGGTAATAAAGAGAACTTATGGCGGTCGAATTCAAATAAGAACAGCCCGTTTTTTGCTTTCACGTCTTTATTCTGCAGAAAATGCGTCTATCTAGTAAATCAAAATGCTTATCCTTCTCTGCTAGTGCTCTTATATTCTGCGTCTACACAGGAAGTACAAAGCAGTAATACAACTGGAGAGGATCTGCCGATTATGACCGAACGTCCTCTTACTTAGCTGCGTCAACCATGAGTACTCGGTCTGATCGCGCAACGTCGCCTCTTCCCGGTAACTCCATGCTGATTTGATTCACACGTACCACAGTACGGAGTAATTACGTCAGGTACGTCTTGTTGGCCTCATCACCGCCGCGTCCATGGCTACCGCCACGATGGTCAACGTCATTGCGTCGATTTCGATGACTCGCATTGTCTTTGAATTCGAGAGTTGTTCTCCTTTTTTTCCTAGCGGATATTCTGTACGCTGCATTTTGCTCTATGTATGGTCTTAGCAGTGGTTTTCCGCGACAGAAGGTATTGGCCTGAAATAGGAAGGCAGAACGACGTCTATATGAAATTGTCATCGTAACGAATGATTTTGAGCTGATTATGCTTGTACAACCAACTCAATAAACGGTATGACACTCGCAACCGACTTTATGTACTAATAATGTATGAAAATAGTCAAAGGGTGCTTTATACTAGCTAATAACGAAAAAATTAACAGAATATTAGTATTATTATTCTGTATTCTATAGGATTCTACCTAGCTTTATTCAGTGTGTTTGTTTTCGTACAATTTCCTTTTGGCGAATTGTTTTATACGAATGCCCTGAAGCCGACAAGCGTTGCCTCTAAGTTCTTCATAAAAGCACACATATCAGCTAACGTTGAAAAGTATGATTATTACATTTACTATGCTTTTCTTTATTAAAAATCTGTTTATTTATCTGCGTTGAACCTGCATATCTTAGCTGAGCTTATGTTGTGTTCTTCCTTGTTTAAGATGACCAACGCAATCAATAGTGTTCCCAGGTTGATTTACTAAATTCGATGACCAATTTAAGCACATCCTTTTAGAACCTACGTTTCTGCGTTCTGGCACTTAAGCTATTATAGCACATGAAGAACAACTAAAATAGGGTATCGTACCCTATCGGATCGTTAGTGTTTGACTCACGTAATCAGTTACGGACAAGCGTTTGCGTTCATTCAGGAATGATTCCTTTAATCTGCTTGCTGCTATTTTTCAGGCTGTTTGTAAATGTTTGTCGTCGATGCAATATTTCAAAATAGTATTTCCAACCCGCGTCTGGTGTACAATGTCTCCAAACCAGATATTCCCTAGATGCTGTATACGAGTCAGAAAATCATATGATTATATCAATGAATACTACAGATCACAAATACATATAAGATAAAATGAAATTACGTATGCATACAGGTTAGGGCCAGCAAAAGTTTTCGCTAGCAAACGGCCAGGCCAAATTTTCTGCAAGAGTAGTAGCACTATAAGACACAGTAACGCTGTAAATGACAGTCAAAATTATACAAAAAAAAAGGGGTCAGAAAGAGGCTTATTAACGGTATGGGACGTAGTATGCCAATTGTTGTCGTATGTATTTTTCGGAAACGTCTAGTAGAGGCTACAAATATCCTAACCGAGGGCAACACCCTAGCAACCATTTCGAGGGAGATTGAACAATGAAATGCTGTCAGATCACCGCTGTCGTTAATGAGACATCATACTTCAGTCAGTCACTACGCAAGAGTGGTTATACAATTAAAGAGGGTTATTGAAGTTGTTTGCAGTATTTGGCCAGTTGATTTGCCCCAGCAGAGAGTGTCAGACGAACGATGAAGCCCCGGCGCCGGCCAATGCCACTGAGATTGAAGTATAGCAACCTCAGCAAATCTTTTAATGTTTATTATGTGCATAATGGTTCCCAATAAGATACTACGCAGTGAATCAGAGAGGTCAGTGCATAATTGCTATCATTTGACTAATGAGCATGGAACAAAAAAAAAACAGTGGCACTCTTTTTCGTGACCAAAATCAAGCATCGTTATATTGATGACATAAATTTATATTTTCCCGAAATTTTTAGAAAACTTGATACTTTCAATTTATATCGATAGAAAAATCCAACGGACGACAATCGCGTCGATAAACGTTTGCCTTCAAACGTATTTTTTTTTATTCTGCAACCACCACTATACATTTTGCTATAAAAGAGACAAAAAAAAAAACGTTATTTCTAAATCTGTCAAAAACCACCTCAGTAAGTCAAACAGGTCTTACACTTCTTTGTATAATTATGGCATATTTTACCGTTCCGTCTTTTCGCTTCTTAAAGAAAGTTTTTGAAACTCCCTTTGAGGATTACACGAAATGGCCGGTAATGCGACTTTGCGGTAGGTCAATCACTATCATCAATATTTAATTTAAGAGTTTGCTTCATCTAGAAAGACCTTTAGCAATGTATTACTCAAATCCCGAAGAACTAAATAATAAACAAATCGTACCGTAAATTCAGAAATAACTTTTGCACTGGCGCTCAACTGCGTTTTATTCAAAACAAAATTAAATTTCTTCATAAATATGATGATTACTGATGCTTATTTGATTATTAAACCCGAAATAATTTCGAAGTGATAAGACGCAAAAAAAGAAAACAAAATAGGGATCTGTCGGAATATATATATGTAGCAGTAGATATTCTATTTTTATAATCTGCGAGTACCTTTCAGCTTCTACTGCCTGATCGCCCGTCCACTGAATATACCATCTGTTAACTAAATCGTCTGAAGTATCCGCTTGGACGCCGGCAGCTAGTGGCTGTTTTCATTTATTATTTTTTTTTTCAGGTGAATGGAGTCTACACCATGAATCAGTGAGTCACTCGATTTAAATTCTTTGTTAACGTAGCTTTCTGTGCGACACGTCGCGCAGGAGCTGAAGTGTCCATTGTAGTGTTTTAACACAAGGATTACACTTCGCCACAGAGTGGCAAATGAAAAGAATACGTAGAAGCTTTTTTTGAAATGTCTAGCAGTTGGCGCCATAGTAGACCGAGTTGTCAAACTTCGTTCCTCGTTAATCTAGAACTTCCGGCGATGAACATCGGGACTTTTCGACGAAACAACAATTTTGGAGGGACGCCGACTGCAAACGTTTATAGGTTGTGTGTCTTTGACCGTCGAAAGGGTCAATCGAGTCTGTGTCGGTAGTCTGACACTTCGTTGCTAAGAGATAATGCCCATGATGACATCTTTACTGTCTTTACCTTGACCAACTCAGTTGTCGACTCTTGAATCAGCCCGGATCAGACTGAATCACACATAGTCAAATAGACTAAAAGACGTCTTTTGAGTTATGCATGCAAAACGATACTAATAAGTAGTTTTTTGAACCATTGCCATTCATGTTATCGATAATAATGATGTATATAAATAAACTCTATTTTTATAAAAATCGAACATTTCCACAGCTATCAAAAGAGTAGAGATTGGTTTTCATTCTATTGATAGCAGGACATGTCAGAATAGTCATTTCAAGGCAAACACAGCGTTCTGAATGCATTAAATCCTGTACGAAGTGAACGGTGTCGTCGCTGAGATGAACAAAAGAGGCAACTGGCGGGTCGTCCTTTTACGTAAACGGGTACGTATCGAAATTTATAGAATTGTGGATAATGCCTGCGATGACCTACAATGGACAACCGACAGCCGTATAATAATATAATTAAGTGTTTCCCCGAAGCTATTATTGTTTTAGTTAAAAAAAAAAAAAGGCTTCATTATATAGATTATTGAAGAAGAATTACGGAACGGAGTATAATTATAATGATGAGATCTATATTTATGTGTTGGAAAATGGCAACATTTTTGAAACGGTTGGTGGTTAAGATCAGTTGTTAAAACGCGCTAATTCGGTGATAATTAGAATATAACGTGATAAATACAAATGGGTGTATTATTTGCGTCTTATATTTATGCAGCATACGGTGCTACCAAAACGCCTGTAACCCTAAAGCCGGGGTACGTATTCCACGGATATGGCTAAGTCAAGATCCTGTGGATTCTCTAGCAAAATTTAACCAGTCGTACGGGATTTCAAAAAAAATCTGGGTGTTTGTACAACTTGGACCGGCAGTATAGAAATATATTACGTGTAAGATATCTATAGAAAAAATCAATGCGTATTAACACTATGTTATTAAGTCGATATAACGAGTTTCTGCGAACTTCAGTGCGTAAGTAAAATACCATTTCGCTGCCAAATCTATATAATAATATGCGCAGGGTATTCCTACAAAATGATCCTATTCGCCTTATCTATTGAAGCTCTTTAGCCTTACCCATCCATGGCGAAATTAGTTTCCCATCTAGTAAGATAAAAACAGGTTTACTATTATTGTTGCTTCCTTCTTGTCCCTTGCCGCTAGGTTCTTCTGTTTCTTTGAAGGGCTAACCAGCGGTAGCGTAGTCGGCCAAACAGCTCTAACAACGAAACGTGATGTTTATTGATTTCACGTCAGAGAGTCGGCTTGCCGCACGGGCCACCTTCGTTTCTCGTCATTTCTCGTGCGCGTCGTGCATGAGTATGTGTGTGAGCTTGTTAAAATGAAATATTGCTTATTGGCCACTCCGCAGGCCAGTCTTCTATCTGAACGTCCGCCTAGCTCAATTAGACCGCAGAAAAAAACTACACCACGAAGTAAGTGTAAGAAAAAATTATGTTTCTTTATTTGGCGGTGGCAAAAACGGTGACGGTGATGGCATCGGGGGCCAGCGAAAACAACGTATTTGCCCAATGCCGGCTGACGGCCGCGCAACGGAAAAGGCATAGAAAAAGCCCACCAACTGGGATAAGGATAACAAAAGAAGAGCGAATGGTTATGACCACGAAACGAAAAGTCTTAGAAATAAGAGACCAGTAACGAAAAGAGTCAATGAAAAGCATCAAATGGCCAGATACATATATACGTACGCACTACTCTTATGAGCAATAAACAAGAAGATCATTCGGGTATGAATTTAGTTGGCGGGGAGCGATGATAAGTACGAAGAGATCGCCATTGAACGCAGACGGAAAGAGAAACGGGACGAACCAAAGC